GGAAAAAAGTAATTCCACAGAAGCATTGATTATTTTTTGCTCTTTCAGATGCACTTTATTGCATTCAAATATCTCAAATAATAAAGATGTGAGAATTAAAGTCAGCATTCCATGGGATTAACATTACGTCCACGAAATCAAAATGGTGGGTAGACGGGAGCCTTAAATCATTTGTGCATAAACTAATTAAAAATTATTAATGATGCTCCCACGAATTTACGTTTAAAAAACAAGTTTTCGTATTTAGAAAGTGAAAAAAAAGTGATACTAGTGAATTAAATATAGACATATTAAATAAGTAATGATGTTGAAAGTCTTGCTACATATATTATAGAAGTGCATATTACAAAAAAGAAACGGGTACTGTTTTAAATTAATCACCCTGTATTTTTAACAGAAAAGAGATTCTGACTCTGCATCAAAGATTCTATTAACCGTCATAAGAACGGGATAGAGTGGAAGAGGAATTACAGATAGCGAGACGAATAAAAATGGGGCACTTATGTGGAAAGGAATCTATTCTAAAACTACAGTGTTCATCAAATATAAAATACACTTAAATCTCCTTATATAATCCCATCATTCATTGATTTGTTAATTAAATATCCTTCATAAATATTTATTTAGGGGTAACTGCGCCCTGAGAACAGGGGTCTATCATCCGCACAAGTCGGAATAGACAAGAAGAACTCCGAGGGCATGGATGAAGATGAAACATTCTTACACGTGGAAGTAGGTTCTAATACAATTTACAAAGTGTCCATCAGCAGTAGGTTACCTAAAAATATTCTTAAAATCTTTTTTTTTATTTGTTTCATCTTTGCATAGAATTACTAAATTAAATTTCTTTCCATCATTCATTTATCGAAGATCAAAATTATGAGCCTCCCTTGTGTTGCTTCCAAATACGAGGTTAATGAACATTTAATCCACGAGAATTTGCAGTGAATATACAAATAGCGAACAGACACAGGAATAAAGTTTTGATAAAACTGTGCAGTTTATGCAACTTTATTTTTCTCCCTCATATTTCAAAACCTGTAAAAATATCTTGTTATATCGTAATGGTTTTAAATAAATACCTAACAAAAGATTTTTCTTTAATGTCCCTCTAAATCTGCTGATTATTAATTATGCAGCTACCCCTTTGGAATTGCTTCTACTGTATTGTTGAAAGCATTGCGTAGGCCTCACATGCAGGCCTTGTTTGTGTAGATACAAGGATCATGACTCCGAGACACCCAAGTGATGTTATTCTTTCGGATATTGTTTACTGTCTTTTTGTAAAAACGGATGACACACCCCCTGCATATCATAACGACTCTTATATATTTTTTCCTCTTCTTTTTGTCAGCCAATTTTTACTTTTTTTTCCAATTTTTTTAAACGTCTAGATCACAACATTGCTTTGTTGGGCGCAAAAAAAACCACATTTGACTCTCGCGCCAATAAAATAATTAGATCTCCCACTCACTCATTCAGTACCAAGTTTTGCCTTCCTCATACCCATTATCAGCTGCTTGTAAGCTCAATTTGAATATTGTAGTCACGTGCTTATGTTAACGAATTCACGGTCGGAAATACTTCCGTTAAGTAAGGGTTCGAGCCCTGGTACCACTGAAGACCGGTTGTGTAGCAAAGCTGATGCACATTAATTCTCTTGCGACATCAAATGCTTTGGTTGATGGGGTGGGAAGATTAATAGAGGGTGATGCCTGCTCAAATGTTTTTCTGGTTACTTGACAGAGGCTCACGAGAACGAGGTATTAGTGTTGCTTCCGATTTCTACATTAATAAACAATGAAAATATGCGAGGTATTGCTACGTAGGGAAAGCTATTATTTAACATTTGAATTTACAGTCTGTTTTTATCTTGTAATGAAATATATATGGTAAGAAATAGCAGAAATGAAGTTTTACTACAGCTAAGTGAAATTATATAGATATTTTGAAGATTTCTAAAGAAGGAAAGAAGTTGGAATTACTAACACGCTCGTCTATAGTTAAAATTGTTTTATAAGGAAATGTAACCGCAGGTAAACAAAACAAACACCCTGCATTGAAAATATAAACCATTGATCCCGTTACCATTGTTCATAATTCTCCGGGGCTTACCTTCTTTAAGTATGAGAATCGTAACCGTGAAGTACACCAGTGATCTTTTTTTCCTCATAGAGTTTCCTTTCAATTGCTTGTATTCTTTAGGTAATTACTGTCATCATGGCTGAGAGATAAACTAATGATCTTTTTTACATATTAAGGCATATTATATTAAAGAAACATTATTTTTTTTCCAATTAAAACATAATATTGATGAAGCTATTGACATTGATACCGATATATCTGTAGAAATTATTGTATTTAATATTATTTTATCTCGTATATTATCTATTTTATATTTATTTTTAGGGCCGTTTATATTTTCAATTCCAAATATAATTCGTCTTTTATTCATTTAAAATTAGTTAAAAAAGTATTCCATTTCATCGAAAAAATTAAAATGAAAATAATAACAAAATACTAAATTAAAAGATACTCCCTTCTGTCGTTACCTACAAAGGAGAATACGACAGAAGAAGGTATTTCAATACTAATTTAATCATACCCATTTTTTTCTCATTTAAACTTATTCTAATTTTTCAAACGCAAGAAGGATCGAATACAAACCAATCATTTAAAAACTCGACCACTTTTTCAAAGTTCACCCTTCACACGAGCTCAAGAATCACCAACTTTTATGATGGCTTGAGACCCTCTAAGAGCACCAAAAAGAGAACAAAAAGAGTCGCACCTAGAGTCCCAAAAAAGTACACACAACGGATCAAAATTTTTTTTTTTAAAGAAACGAGGGTCGCAGTTTCTCCCGTTGTGTAGCCGAGCTTCGATGAATTTCTTCGCTTCAAAGCATTGGGCAGGAATCGCATTGAATTAATACCAATTGCTGTGCTTTGATTTAATTATACTGTCGGATTCCACAAGTACGTGCCATTTCAGAGTCGGTTATCTAGTGCCCGCTGAAGTGGTATGGTTCCGCGCAATCAATTCGAGTTCTCCACATAGCTGAGGTATTCTACGCAGCATCCCTCACGTGTGGAGGGAACTCCCAATCCACACGAGTGAAACTCCACGCTTCCCACAGCAGCCCGATACTCATTGCCAATCCTAATCCCGAAGTTACGGAACGAAATTGCTAACTTCCCCTATCTACGTTTGTCTATAGGGGCTATTCACCTTGGATACCTGCTGGGGATATGGGTACGGACCAGCACGAAAATCATATTCTCTCCCTTGGATTCGCAGAGGTTTGCAGAAAGATTCGGGACACACTGGAGAAACGAGATGTGCTTACGTTAACAAGTCTCTATTTACACATGACTCTTTTTCAGTGACGACCTCTTAGGAAGACTCTTCCCCAGTTCCTCCACGGGCTCTTCCGAGTTCGCTTGCCTTGCCACACTCGGGGTCAGAACCCCTATCTCCGTTTCGGAACCCCTATCTCGATTCCCTTTCGTTCGGCATCGAGGCTAAAATTAGAAATCGATAAGGTCTCGACTTCGAAATGCATTTCTCTAATCCCTAAGGGCCGACTCACCCACTTACAGCTTCTGTTCACGCAGGGAGCCCTTCTACATCCTTTAGGTTTTCGATAGAGCATTGTCTACTTCCCTCAATATCTGCACCGACAGAGGCTCTAAGCAGAATCGCTTCCACACCTTCTACGCTATCCGTCGTCACCCTACAACTCATTCATTGCCTGACTAAGTTACACAATTGAGTCACGGGCTCTGCTTCAGCGACTGGGAATGATGCTCTACACTTGAGCTCCATCCATTTTTAGGGCTAGTTTCATTGGTAGGAGAGCTGTTGCACACTCCGTAGAGAATTCCGACTTCCATAACCACCATCCTGTTGAATACAGCAACCAATACCTTTCCTTGGATCTCTTGAACATCTTGCATCGGACGGCGTAACCCAGCGTTTGGTTCATCCCACAGTGCCAGTTCTGCCTTCCAAAATCCTCCATTGCTCCACCTTCAATGAAAGAAGAGTCTACCATTGAAAGTTTGAGAGTTGGCTAAGATAATTTCGGCCCTAAATATCTCTAATCATTTGCTTTACCAGATGAATTTCTGAGGGCTAGCTATCCTGAGGGAAACTTCGAAGGAAATCATTTATTACTAGGTTTGACTGGTCTTTCGCCCATATCTGCGAATCAGATGATTGATTTACACTTAAAAACTGCTTCGGACCTCCACCAAAGTTTCCTCTGACTTCGTCCTGTCCGAGTCTAATTTACCATTTTTTGAATTCCAAGTTGAAGTCTCCAATTCAGCCCCTGCATGATTTGGTATACGAGAACGGGTCAGAGGTTTCGATTTACTTTTGCCATTTTCTCATCATTGCGGGACCCCACCCCCAAGTCCAATTTTAAACCATTTGTTGCATAACAATCAAACTCCATGAGAGGTAAGTTTCTCTGTTGGAGAGTGGCAACATATATAAGAGAGGAGAAAAGCCGTAACGGTTGTGTCTCTTGAAAATGATGGCGAAAGAAAAAAGTTTTTAATGTTTGTGCTGTTTTGATTTAAATATATGTTTTTTATGTTTCCTTTAGCGTTGTCATCTATGAACAAAAATTCCTACATTCATTTTCACAGTCAATCCTAATAGGAACTGCAACATCGGATTATTCGGACTTGCACGATATTTGATTATTTCGGAACTTAAGTATTATCGCATGTGGAACACCAAACCACGTTCATGGAATATTTTTTGAACATAATTTTTTCAATTTTCTTAAAACTTTTGCATTCCAGACTTTAAAAATTTCATGATCTGGGAAATATTTTGACTACATTTAACAAATTTACATTTTTTTTTTAAAAAAAAAAAAACTTTTTGTGAAAAAAGATTGCAAATCATTGGGAATACGCTCCAAACTCGACCAATTTGAAAACATTTTTGAATTTTTAATAAGTTTTTATTAAAAAAAACTATTACGTTTTTTTGGGGGCAAACTATAGGGAACTTGTTCCCAATTCGGTAATTATAAAATAAACTCTTTTCTTGTATCCCCGAAGATTTTGCGGAAAGAGCATACGAAAACATTCTAACGAGAAAAATCTTTAAGATAAAGTATTAATGAAATTTCTGAACATTAAAAAAAAAAAACACAGTTGGAAATAATTCTCTTTTAAAGAATGTATCAATCTTAAATTAATTATCTCCATTTATAAGTTAGGTTTCAACGAAAGACTCTTTCGAGTAATAAGGGAGATATAGAATGAAGACCTCGTTACTTGAAAAATCTTAGTCAGATGACAAGGAGGAAATCTAGGTTTGTAACTTCCTTTCAATTTTGCCCTCACCCTACCAGATAATTTTCAGACCCAGTAATGTGCAGATGATTTATTTACAGCAGCTCTCCGTATTCTTAGGCTATTTTTCACGTGATTAATTCGTTTTGTAATTTGAATCACAATATATAATAAATTATTTGAGGGAACATGTTTGTTAAATAATATAAAAATTCATGTCGTTCAAATACGATTCATTAATTAGAATGACTTTAATAGTTAACCCACAGATATTGATATAAAATTCAAAATAAAACGAAACTTATGTACAGTAGCAGAAATGCCAGATTTGAAATTAGGTTTCACTAGAGAAAATAATTTAAAAAAAATAATAAATATACTTCTCTGACTTTTCCCTTCGGAGAGATTTTTTCTGAAGAAAGGTTTTTTCACAATTAACTATTCTAGTATATTTGTTGGCTATTAAAAATGTAACAAATAAAAAAAAATATTCGTGTTTAATTTATTTTTTATATTTTTATCTTAAAAATTATTCAGCAATTTTCACTTGTGATTTAAATTCTTTTTGAAACCATCATTGCTTATGATCCTAGTAAAGATTCTAGGAGAGGGATAGGTGCCAGCTCAGGTATTTTCTCGTCACTTGAACGAGGTTCAACATGAGGTCCACGCTAAAAGCCTTTGTGTTGCTTCTAGTGCGACGTTACTGGGTGAAACTAAACCTAATAAAGATTCAAATATATTTGCCGCTTTACCTTTTTAATACCTTTTATACTTGGTTTTCCATTACTTGTTAAAATTTTGGTTTCTAAAAATGGCAATGATTTTCGGGTGTGATTTTGTTTGAATTCGCTGAACACAAACTGATGGTATGAACTACGTTGGTCTTATTTCACAGCCGGTAGAGATAACTGGATTATATATATATATATATATTTCGAATATGTTTGGATAGCTCTGAGTGATTTGCATTTGAAGTTCGAATAATGAATGTCTGTTTATTTACTATAATCTAAATTATAAAAATGTGTTCTTTCCGTTTTAAATAATTGTCAGTGTAATGAAACTTCCTAGAAATACTAATTCGAATACCTTTAAAATTCACTTTTTAATTTGAGACCCATTTAAATTATTTTATCTAATCTGAAAAATTGTATGCAAATACATTACGATTATGTAAATATTTAAAATTCTTTAAAAAACATTCATTCGGTGCAGAATTGTTTAATTGTTCAATAATCGCAGTTTTGCTGTAAGTTTGTGCAGAACATTATAACAGAGTTTTTATGAATTTTCATTCGTAAAGTATAATATGATTGAACAACGAAAATTGGACAGTAATATTATGATATAAAGTTGTATCGTTACGTTTTCGGATCGATATAAACTGGTTCACTAATGGTTTTTTTTCTCTTTCTTTCAGATTGTTCTTTGGAGCCCTTATATCGAAATCCTTAGTTATGATCTTGGAAGAAGTATATGGATGTCCTCTAACCATTTTTACAAGTTATTGTAATCCATTAAAGTAAAATGCTTAAGTTTATTTTTATTATTTCTACAGTCAATAGTCAAAATATTTAAGAGACCAGTTACCAGTATATATCTCGACATTGCCTTTTATTTCATATTATGGGAACTATTCTTTTTGTGTTCAAAAAAGTCCATTTTCTTTTTCTTTTCTTTATTTGAATCGATTGTTTTATTTTCTGAGTTTATTTATTCTACATTGTCTGAAAATTTCAAAATACAGTTGTGGAACAAAAAATACAGTTTAGCCCAACCACTTGAAGCAGTTTCAAAAATTGCCTATTTTGATGATTTTTTCGGTGGAAGATTAAGTTCTCGAAACGGAAAAGAGGAAAATGAGAAAATGTTTCACTTACCTAATTTTCTGCTGGATCCTTAGTATGAAGTACTAGTATATAATGAAAGCCTGGATGAAGTGTCTGAAATCATTAATGCTTTCAATTTTGGTTTTCTCACATTTGATCACCGTTTAACCATAATCGCATCCTCATTTCACTCAAACTCATTCATACACACCTTCTATACCAAAATCTTATTACTCAATGAACATTACATGTAAAAACAAATCTGTATTTCTTTTGACAAAACAAAATGTCTTCCTGTCATTCTACAATGACATTTATATCTATCAATTATTCCTTTCCTATAAAATAGTTGCTTGGTCTTACATTATCATGTACATTAAAACAGATCTCTCTGTTTTGCAAAACATTCCAAACAAATCTTTATTAAATCCATAACAAACTCATCCCTACACCAATCAAACAAAACTAGTAACCCGAAGAACATCAAACATTGCTATTCGAATAAAAACAAATATCTCTCCATATCAAGATACATTATGATCCATAACCTGTTTTTCATTTCACTCTGAACAAAACGTTCCGATAAAACAGGCTAGCTACAGTTTGTAAAACATTACCAAAAAAATCCTGTTGCCATGAGCGATTGGGCTAAACAGCATTCCAACCATTATTGTGATACAATTAATATTTTCTGAAATTCTATTTGTAATCATACTGTGTTATTATTTTGAATTTGCTTATGAGCAAGTTTAAACATTCTTTTTTTTTGAAGATTTGTTTGTCAATAATTTGATATATCTATGAATGTTCTTTACTAGTCATGTAACATCTGAAATTGTTGTTGGATTAATTAATTTAAAGGACTTTGAAATGGGTATATATAGTTATCAAAAGCAATTTTATTTTGTAATGGAACAAAACAATGTAAATATATTCACTTGCTTAAAGTAAAAGTATTTAATTAGGAAAACCCAACCAAACCTCCAATGAAATAATTTTTGAGACTTACAAAAGAATCAATACTAAACTGATTATTTGATTTATTTATATTACATGAATTTATTCAAGTACTTGTTTTTTTAACGCACAAAAGTTAATTTTTTTTATATATCAGAAATTAATAAGTGTGAATATTGAGCACTAAAGTATAGAAATTGGATTATGGTGAATTGAATGTGGATAAATGCACTAAAAAAATTCAGAAAATTCTATTATTTTTGAATACATTTCTAGCAATTTTTCTGAAAATAAATTAAATTGGTGAGTGTTGCACAATATTGATTACTAAAGTTAGTTGATTTTTTCTAAGAAAAAATATCGTATTTTTTTATGTATAATTTAAATAAGTAAATATGACATTTAAGTGACTGTTTTGCGCAAAAGAGAAGTGAATTTTCATTTCATTTCCAATTCAGCTATTCTAAAGATCTGGATAGTTGAGTGGACACAATGAATCTAGTGCATCTTGTTCATCTGCTCCCCCATAACCTGTTGGCTTGGGTTGCCAAAGAAAATTTCAGATGTCTCCTACTTGTCAGTTGTACGAAGCTCATTTGGTAATTATGTATTTGTGCTAGTAGACTTTTTTGATAGCATATATAATACATTAATACTCATATATTCTTTTAGACACACATTGTTTATATACTTTAGATAATATTGTTGGAATTTGTGTATTTAAGTTTGCAAAGTGTATCGTGTCATATGGGAATAAACACATTTTCTTTTTCTATCTGACAATATTTTTAGAAAGATCTATAATTATACTTTAAAAAATTATTTTAAAATTCTTTCTCAAAAATATAGAGAAACTTATAATTTTTTCTTAACTAGGGATATTTTCAGAATATATATTTTGAGTAAAGTTATGTTTGTTGTAAATTATGAAAACTGAAAAAAAATTTCATCTATTTGATAGACCATGAATAGATATGTTTTCTATAGTTTGCATGATAGTGATTTAAATTGTGATTTGTATATTGTATGATATTGCATATCTTTATTTGTAAAAAGAATACACGAATTATTGTATGCTTTTATTTTTAAATAGACATATTACATGGATCTTTGTGTAGAGTAATAGTTTTCAAATTTTGAGATATTTATGTTTTCTTTCTCTTTATAATTATTGAAGCCTGCACTTGTACCTAAAATGTATCTTTTATCTATTATGACTGTACTGTGAATTATTGTTTTATGCATATTTCATAAAAT